AGATGAAATTGGAGTTATTGGAAGGGAATCTGAAGTATCAAATATATTGGATAAACTACTTGCCCTCAATAACCAAAAAACTCTAGTTGTTTTACCCATTGTTGGTACCGGTGGGTTAGGAAAAACAACTCTGGTGAAGGAGATTTTCCATCATGAAACCATAAGGAAGAATTTTGATACTTTTATATGGGTATGCGTGTCTCATCCTTTTAAAATCAACAAAATTTTAAGAGCAATCCTGAAATCCTTGAATCCTAAGCTTGATGGCTCAGATGAAAAGGAAGTCATTCTTCTGAAGCTCCAAGATCTACTGAGTGGAAAAAAGTATTTTCTTGTGCTTGATGATGTTTGGAACGAGGAACCCATTCTCTGGACTGAGTTGAGGGCTTGTTTACTAAAGATCAATAAAAATATGGGAAGTGCTATAGTTGTGACTACCAGAAGTGATAAAGTTGCAGAAATTATGGAGACAAAATACAGACATCATTTGAGTCCATTACTAGATGATCATTGTTGGTCGTTATTTGAAAAATGTGCATTTGAAAGTAAATTACCAGTAATTTCTGATGTCATTCAAGGAAAACTTGTTAAAAAATTTGGTGGCATACCATTGATTGTGAAAGTGTTGGGAGGAATGGTGATATCATGCAAGAATGATGAGGAATTGCAATCGACTTTGGAAAAGCTAGTGAGAATTGAATTGTCAAAGGAAGATCTTATTTTATTCACAATCAAATTAAGTGTGGACCGTCTACCATCTTCTTCATTGAAACAATGTTTTACCTACTGTTCAAATTTTCCACCCGACTTTTTCTTCGATAAAGAAGAACTTGTTCAAATGTGGGTAGCACAAGGGTTTATTCAGATACCCAATGGAAGCAATGTAACAATGGAGGATATTGGAGCGAGATATTTCGATATTTTGTTGTCTCGCTCCTTGTTTCAAGATGTTGTCAAGGATGAGAGAGGAAAAGTTGAATATTGTAAGATGCATGATCTTATATATGAGGTCGCATGTGCTATTTCAAATGATCAACATTGGAGAGAGGACCTTGTAACAGATGGAAAATCTCATGATGATGAAGTTCTTTTGATCCGTCGAAGAAGAAGAACAGTTTATTGTTGTGAAAATGTACCATTTGGTAATCAAGTTAAGATCACTAACTTCATTTACTTGCGGGTTTTAATTATTAGTGGTGAGTTTGTAACTGAATTGCTTGATACAATTGGTAAATTGAAACATTTGAGGTATCTTGACATTTCAAAATCTGGAATAAGTGAGCTCCCAAAATCAATTGTTTTGCTTTACAATTTACAGTCTTTGAAGCTTCGAAGGGGTATAAAGCTTCCAAGGAAGTTGAGAAAGTTGATCAACTTAAGGCATTTAGAATTTGGTTGGTGTAATTTAAATCAAAGTCATCAGATGCCTAAACATTTAAGTGGAATGACTCAACTTCAAACGCTTTCTATTTTTGTAGTTGAGTCTGATGAAGGATATAAGATTGAGGAGCTTGGACCTTTAAAAAACCTTAAAGGTCAATTAAGTCTTCTACAACTCGAGAAAGTCAAAAGTAAAAAGGAGGCCATGGCTGCAAATTTAGTTGAGAAGGAAAACATTACTAATCTATCTTTTGAATGGAGTTTTAGTAGAGAAGACTGTGTTGACAATGATTTGAATGTGTTGGAAGGGCTTCAACCACACATAAACCTTCAAGCATTGAGTATTGTTCACTTTGCAAGTGAACTTATGCCTAGTGGTATTTTTGTTAAAAACTTAATTAAGCTTCGGCGAGTTTTGCATAAGATGTAAAACTTTACCAATGCTAGGACAGTTGTCCAAACTTGAAGTTCTTTACATTTGTAACCTAAGAGGTGTAAAAAGTATTGGAGACGAGTTTTACAGGAATTATCGCGACAGTAAAATTTTATTTCCTCAATTGAAAGCATTTGAAATTTCGAATATGGACACTTTAGAGCAATGGAAACATGTTGGTACTGTGACGAATAGTACAACTTTTCCTAAACTCGAAAGCTTAACCATTCATTCTTGTCGCAAACTAACGAATATTCCAAACATTTTTGCAACGCATAGCCCGAGGTTGGAAGCTGACACTGTTAATGCAAGGTTATTTTCAAGTTTTCAAACTCCTCCAAACCTTCGATCTCTAAGCATTTATGATTGTACAAGTTTGGTAAAGCTGCCAAACTGGTTAGAATGTTGTAGCTCGCTCGAAGATTTTTGCATATGCAACTTTTGTGATGATATTTCCTTTCCAAATTTGCAATATATGCAAAAACTCGTCTTCATTAGAAATTGAAAACTTTCATAATTTGAGAGAGGGGCTCGACGGTATTCATAACTTGAAAACATTGAAAGTTAAAGGGCCAATGGAGGGTCATGATTGGAGTCGATTCATGCCCTTCAATTCACTTGAAGTTCTTAAGTTGCATGAAACAGGAACTAATAGTTTAACACAACTTCCTCGACAGCTTGAGCTCCTCACTTCATTAAGATCCTTGCATATTGAGAGTTTTAATGGCATTGAATCTTTGCCAGAATGGTTGGGGAACATTACATCTTTGGAGACGTTGAAATTATGGTATTGCAGAAATTTGAAAAATTTGCCCTCGAAAGAAGCTATGTCAAATCTAGCTAGATTGAATTGTTTGGAAGTGTATGAATGTTCCCAGCTTGAAGTTGGTGACGGTAGTGTTGAACGGGAAAAGGTTTCGCATGTACCCGATGTTCATGTATTCTAAAATAACTATTTTATATTTGTTTCTTTTCTTTTATATATATATATATATATATATATATAATTTTAATGTTTTCATTAGCCTAAGTAAAATTATAATTGTATTCTTTGTACTTTCTTTGTACTTTAAAGATTATATTGATTCTGTTACTACAATAATTACTACAAGTTAGTGTTGAATGGGAAAAGGTTGATTAGGTTTGAAAACCAAATCAAAACTAAAGTGAAAAATAAAAAATAAAAAAACAAACTAAATCAAGCTGCATGTGAAACGTTTTAGTTCATCATTTTATCTTTATTCAAATTATTATTCTATTTTATGTTTAGACATTTAATTATGAAATATTTAGTTTTTTTTTTAATTAAATTTCTATGTTACCATACTTTAATAAAAATAAAATAAGAAAAACCTAACTTTCTAACCAGTTAGAAAAGAAATTGAATCAATATATGAGTGATAAAATTAATATTTAGTTTGAATTAAGTTAAAAAAAATGTTTGGAACTAATTAGTATGCCACTTAAAATTCAACAACTAGATTAGAAAGTTGTTCTTGATTCAACTAATAAGCCACTTAAAGTTTAGCTAACAAGTCATGATTCAAATTTGATCGTGACTAAAAAAAGAAAAAGAAAATGAAATAAATAAAAGTATAAAATAAAATAAAATAAAATAACATGAGAAAATCCGAAAAAATTAAACAAAAATAAAGATAACACCAAAATGAAATAATAAAACAAAAGTTCGATTACAAGAGGGCGTTGTTCAATTTATTACAGATAACACCAAAATGAAATAATAAAACAAAAGTTCGATTACAAGAGGGCGTTGTTCAATTTATTACAAACGGAAAAAGGGTTTGCGATACAATTACAAAATGAGATAAAAAAAACACTCAATTATAGAAATGAATTGATGCTTTGTAACAACCCCTTTGTGACAATGTAGCTCTTGGATGCTTTTCCACCTCAACCAACAGCATTCCAATATCTGAAAACAAAAATAGAAATAAATAAATATATAAATATACCAAATATGCTCTGATCGCATCGTTGATCTAGTAAGCTACTACAGGCTTTTCTCTAGACTCTAAAAAGCTCGGGCTTATTTCTAAAGCTATTGGAGCATTAGGATTTTAAACTAGACAACGAGATTTTATCTTACGTGTTGTTCCAACAAAATAGAATAGTTTTGAAGGAACTCAATTACAACTTATATTATACTTTATTAGAGAGCAGTTGAACTTTATTTATGGAACTAGTACCTCTTATGCCTTTCTTAAAAAAAAAACTCCAAATCTATTGATACCATGTAAGACCTATAATGCCGTGGAGAATATAGGATTGAGGGCAGCATAAAAAGTCGGAGCTAATAAACTTGAGCTAGTAGAACAAGTTACTCACTTCATAGTAACTTTAGGAGAATGATTAGTAGACTTGGCCTATGAAGTAACCTTGAGAGAATTATTATTAGACTCGGTAGAATAAATTACTAACTTATGAAGCAATTATAGGAGAATTGGCGGTAGTTGCCAAATTGTGGACCAAGTTCATTTGCTTCTTTTACTTGTTTCAATTTATTTTGATCCAGGGTCACATCCAACCTTTGGTATCAGAGCCAGGATGTTGAAACAAATGTCATCACTATAGAAAGTCACTTTAGGAGAAGTGACAATGATAAAGAGAGGAAAAGAGGGGAGTGTAACGCTCCAGTACTCGCTACTCACGAAAATTCGGACCGTGACCAAAAAGAAGAAAGTAAAAACAAACAAAAATATAAGAAAAGAAAAAAGAGGAAAAGATAAAAATACTATTTAATTAAAATAAAAGAAGGGAAGTTTTGTTTCAAGATATTAAACGGGATTCAAATATAAAAGGTGTAACGCCCCGTTAGGTTATATATAATAATAATAATAACAACAACAATAATAATAATAATAATAATAACAATAATAATAATAATAATAATAACAATAATAATAATAATAATAATAACAATAATAATAATAATAATAATAAAATAAAAATAATAAAATAAGCAATAAAAAAAAGTAGCTGACCACCCCTCTCTTAATCTCTCCACCCTACCCTAAAATACCTCCTCATCGGTCATCAATAATTCTAAAAACAAAAAGATTTTATGGGGAGAAGAAAGGCAGATAAATCTTCTGGCAAGAAAGACCATTTTATGGAGAGAAAAAAGGCAAATAGATTTTCTAGGAGAAAAAAAAGAAATAATGGAGGGATGATTAGGCAGATAATTGAAGAGATGTCATTTTAAAAGGTTAATAGTCAAATCTACCTTTTCCTTTTATTGTATGGAAGGATATTAGTATGTTGCAATTATTTAGATCTGAGTTAGAAATGATAATATCTTAACTCAAGAATCAATTAATATTTGGTAGGGGAAAAGAAATACAAACAAAGACGAGAAACTGTAAAAACAAATCAAACAATCAAAAGAAGGGAAGAGAAAAAAAAAACTAAAAAACTAAAAAACTAAAAAAAAAAAGAAGAAAAAAGAAAATTAAATCCATCTAAAATGGTTCAGTTAGTTGCATAGATATTTTTTTAGGAAAGAAATGAAAATCAAATTCGATTGAAAATAGCCAGTACAATAGGCAGAATTAAAAAAAAATGACGATTACTGATATTATTAGGAAAGAAAACAAAATCAGAATGATATTTTTAGGAAAGAAAAGAAAAAATTCAAAATCCTTTATCGAATTAATTAGAATCAGATTTCCACCTAAAGTTATTTTGATTTTACTCGGCAGTTAGAAATCATATCAGATCTTTGAATGAGATCATAGATCTTCTCCTTTATACAATTATTTAGAATTAGATTTCCCCTTCACTTACTAAACTGTTAGAATTAAATAGGAAAGAAAAGAATTAAACAGAGAAGAAAAGAATTAAACGAGAGGTTTGGAAAAGAATTAAACTGAGAGAGCGGTTTGAAAAGAATTAGACAGAGAGAGGTGAAGAAAATATATATATATATATATATATATATATATATATATATTTAATTAAGTACATAAAAGAAGAAAAGAAAAGAAAGAGGTAAAGGAAAGAAAATTATATATATTTAACTAATTAAATACAGAAAAGAAAAGAGAGCCAGTGATGGAGGAAAATGGAAGATTTGGTGAATAGAAACAATTTCACAGAGTAAATACATAGAGTAAAAAAAAGAATAACGAGATATATATATATATATATACAATACTCATAAAGTCTCTAATGCTCACATGGAGTTTAACACATGGACCATTGTAAAATTTAGAGAATTGAAATTGATGTCATGGTTCATATAGGTTGGCTCGGATACAAAGAACAAAACCGAACTTGATAAATTAGGGAATACTTCGGCTAAGGCCAACCAGGTGAGTGGTCTTACAATAGGATAGGCTAAAAATTGTATGAGTTATGATGATGTATGAACTATGTCGTACGATGCGGCATATGAGTTATGATGATGTGTGGGTTACGATACTTGATGATGTTACTTGATATGTTTGATGCACTTTGTGGCAATATGATAAGTATGATGATTGCATGATGTTTACCTTAATATGATGATGTTTTTCATATTGAGCATGCTATATGATGATGAGTGTCATATTGCATCATGTCGTTAGATCGACATAGGACACAACCCTAAGAGCGTGAAAATGATATTAATATAAATATCCACAAGTATGTGTTACTTAGAGTAACAAATAGATGAGATTAGAGGGTTGTGTCAGAAGATACATTATGATGGATTTAGAGGGACCTCATGCATATTGTATGTTCATAAGCATAGGGCTACTTCCCCTAGAGATGATGAGTGCGGACGCGCACCATATGATGAGCGCGAATGCGCACAGGTGCGAATGCACACAGATGAGGGTGTTCATGAGGCGCATGACACTATGGGGTTCCGCTGACCTCCGGACGTCGCTACAGATTAGCTTGACCAGAGGGTCCAGGGGGTGTGCGAGCGCCCTTGGGATTCACACTCGCACGTGTGAGTCGTGTGTAGGGAAGTACTACACATCCAATTTATCCGAGACTGGAGGCCACCCCTAAGATGATCAGAGATAAGTCCCTAAATCATGATTGCATGTGTTTGCATTAGCATGGCCCCTATAATGGGGCCACTTATTGAGTATTCTTTGAAATACTCAGGCCGTGTGCCACATCATTTTTCAGGTAAAGACAAGGCGCACTTGTACGGAGGACGGCGACATCACGAGCAGAGACTGTGGCACGTGCATAGGGTAGATTCATATTTAAATTTCTAGTCATAAGTTAGAATAGGTTGTTTTGCATTTCATTGTTTTAAATTATTTTGTATTTGTTTTTTATTTCTCTAAATTTCAGTATGTCATATTTAAACACGTAAGACCATGGCTGTGTTTTCCACAAAAGAAGTTGTTTTAAAAGTGTTTTTGAATTTTACGTTATAAATTATGTTCATGTAAGAATTATATTTCTGCATTATAGATGAGCATGAGACGTTAGTAACGACTCTGAGTATGTGAAAATTTAGGGTCGTTACAAAAGGAATATACAAAAGACTCAAAAAGATGGAAAATGGATTGACGCTGCGGAACGACCCCCTCTGTGACAGCACAGCTCTCGAACGCTCCTCCATCCCGACCGTCAGTCAGCGAACATCTGAAAAAGATAGGAAAACTTGGATGAGTATAAAAATTATACTCAATAAGCCACCTACTTATAGACTCTTCATTGCATCCCAAGATTAACAGGTTCCCACGTGGTTCTAATTGGCTCTAGGACATCTGGTGTTGGTCTTATCCCATTGGGGCTTCTCTGGTTCTCTGTCTTTTCTTGTAATCCCTAAGAGCTCCTTATACCGAGCTGTAATCACCGATGTCTCTCTATGAGGCGCTACCTCTGCATAGCATTCTGAGACTATATGACATCTTATCTAGGGGTTTGCTGAGTACCTCCTAGGCCCATGATAGTCCCCCTTATTGGAGGTGCAACCCAA